GAGAGAACTAATGTGACAGGCTGTGCTCAATTAATTATATAGACTATTCTGTTACACTTCACAGATTTCATATACACTCTGATTCTCAGTCATTCTCAATTGCTGATTCTCGGCTGCTGTGATTCGGAAGAACGTACAACCGTCGGATAATAACGCGGCCGCTTCCGAACTACTAGCGTACGCATACACTTCCGAACTACTAGCGTACACGTACAAATGTAAAGGGGGCCCTAGCAGCCACTAATTAATTTAGCATATGAGATTCAATATATAAGAAGCCAGTGTACGCCTGTAATTGTACACTGGCTTAAGCAACCTTTGAATTACATCTGATAGCATGTCTAAAAACCAGTGAGAAGTGCAGGCTTCTTCAGAGTGTGATAATTTCACCTATGAAGTGATTCATAGTTATCATGCCAGTGTGATTCTAGAACATCTCAAAAGATAGTGTACAAAGAGCAGTGAGTGAAAGAGTATTCAATTGATACTGCTGCTTCACTTGTTGAGGGAAAACTCCATGCCCAGGCAAATGCCATGTATGTGAACAGATGAGATGTGAGAAAAGAGATGAAAGTGATGAACCAGATTTAAAGAAGACTGCTCTTCACTCAAAGAGATAAAAGAAAGGAGTGGCCATCACTGGAGTTGTACAATGATAACAGAAATCATAGAATGATATATTAATATAACAACACAGTGATATAACAATAGATATTGTACAATCAATGAGAAAATCACTGAAATGAATACCTTCTCTAGCTGATACAAATAACACTCTTCTCTACTACCTGAACTGAAAGATATGCAGAACCTCTCAGAGGGTTTACTCAAAGCAGTAAGAAAAGCAGCTGAAACTGCTGAATCAGAATCAAAGCTTCATACATGTACAAGAATTCTAAATGAAATCAAGGCCTTGTATATGCAGTGACAGGCTGAGGCAGAAGTCAAACAACAATTAATATTCACTGCAAATCAAGCATTCACTATGAAGAGCTTCACTGATGCAATTATCATCATCAATAAGAATAGAGAAAACCAGATCTTAGATCTGCAGTGAGAGATCAAACATTTACACAGATAGATAACTACACTGAATCTGAAGATCTTATCACAATCATTCACAATCTCTTCAGAAGTATACACATCATCAGAGACTGCTGCACAGAATAAGAATCCAAGTATAGAATATATCAAGCTGAGAGATCTGTCAGAGTCATCAAGCTTCAATGATGACTGAAAAAATAATGCTGTAATTAGCTGGCTAAGTCAGATGCAATCATATTATCAGATTGAACATGAACTCACAGACAGACAGTCAACAGAATTTCAACAAGTCTTAAGATCTGCTGCATTTCTACACAGAAAAGCAAAGTTATTATGAATAACTGATGAAAAGATAAATCTCACAGACTCAGAGTAATATTCATTCTCACAAACATGAAATGAGTTTTTCAAATGAATCTTGCACAACTTTGAGAAAGTGAATATATGAGATAAGCATTATAAACACTTCACTGAGTGTAGACAAGTGAGTAATCTTATATTGTACTTCACATACTTCAGTTTACACTATCTTATGTTGAATAAAGAGCTTTTAACATCTTTCTGTTTACAGATCTTCATTCATGATCTTACATCTGAGTTGAGAGTGAAATGAAAATGCTTAATCTCACAGTCAGATACAGTGGAGAAAGCATACAATATTCTCATTATACAGAAATAAGTAAGTCAATTGTGATAGAAAATACTACAATCAAGTATATTCTAACAGAGAACAGATAATCAGACTTCTATAACATAAGTCACATACTCAGATACAATGAATCTAGATCTGAATGCTATTGCTAAAGCACTGAATCCTCTGAAAAAGAGATTCTCTGAGTGAAAACCTTGATATTATAAGTATCAAGCTTACTTCAACTGCAGACACTAAAATCATGATGCAAAAGATTGCACTTAGTGTGCACAGTCAAGAGAAGTAAGAGAGTCAAAAAACTAGCAGAATCAGTGAGCTCAGAGACACTCACTGATATTCTATGAAAAGTCTTTAAAGTGAAAGAGATGCCCGCATTGAATGATTCTCTGAATTCTGTGAATACAAAGAAGAAGCAGGCTTCTGAATGAGATGCAGGTGAGGATGATGAAGTGAATACTCATCTCAATGCCTTGAGACCTGAAATGTTAATGTATAGAAGACACTTGAATAAGAATTAAGAGATGGCTGCAAAAGTGTTAGCAGACACAGAAGCTTCTACACAATATATTGATAATTATATAATCTGAAGATTGAAAAAAGTCTGTCAAGTGAAGAATTCTCAATACATAAGATTATCTGATAACTGATATTTGATATCATCTGCAAAAGTAAGAGTTTTCTTGCACTTCAGAGAATGATCTTGCTATATTTAAGTGTGAGAGCTGCAGAATGTGAAATACAATCTTATTCTCAGACTCAATTGATTTCAAAGGTTCAATTCACAGATTCAATGACATACATATCATATACAGTTGACTGATAGAAAGAAAATGATTCATACAATTCTATCAACTGATATGAGAAGGACATTTCACATCTCTGATATAGAAGAGTTAAATCTGCTTACACACTAACAAGCAAAGAGAATGATTCACAAGATCTCATTCAAAAGCATTCTGTATGACAAGATAAAAGATATACAGAAGAATAAGCATATGAAGAAGCTTCTGAAGAAGCATGAAAAGATCTTCTGAACAGATCTTTCACTGGAATTACCGCTGAAACAAGGATTCATACATGAGATTGACACAGAGGATGCAAAACCAGTCAATCAGAATATATATTCTCTGTCACAAATGCATCTCAAAGAACAGAAGTGTCAGATCACAGACCTTCTAGAACATAGTCTCATACAATTCTTATCAAGTATGTGAGGCTTTCCAGTTCTATTCATGAAAAAGGCAGGTGAAGAGTGACAGATGTGTATTAATTATTAAGCACTTAACAAGCTTATAATCAAGAATGAATATTCACTGTCACAGATTCAACAACAGTTGAATACAGTTGAAAACACCTGATATCTATCAAAGATCAATCTTCTCTCAGAATACTGACAGATCTGTGTAGATGAACTGTCAGTTCTGTGAACTGTATTTAATACACAATGAGAAAAGTTCAAATTCCTAGTAATGTCATTCAGTCTGACAAATGCATCTGTCATCTTTCAAACAATGATGAATACAATTCTTCATAAACAGAATGAAATCTCATATCTTGTATATCTCAATGACATTCTAGTCTTTTCAAACTCATACAATAAATATCTGAAGCATCTCAATGAAGTGCTTATAACTCTGGCAGAGTATAAGCTCTATATCAAATCAATCAAGTGTGTATTTGAAATGAAAGAGTTGAAGTTCATAGAATATGTAGTGAGTGATGACTGTATACATCTCATTCTGAAGAAATTGAATGTCATAGTGAATTAACCACAGCTGAGAAATGTACATCATGTACAACAGTTTCTTGAGTTGATCTCATACTACTGCAGGTTCATCAAGAATTTCACATGAATATCTGCATCACTCTCAGATCTCTTAAGAGAAACAGATGCAAATCTGTGAAAGAAGAAGTTTCATTCAATCATCTGAAATATCATGTGCAAAGAGGCTTTTCTCACACTGAGAGAATACATAACAACATTCTCAGTGCTTATTCAATCAGATCATGATAAATCTTTCTACATTGAGACAGACACATCTGAATGAGCTATCAGAGATGCTCTTCTACAGATGAACAAGAACAGCAAGCTACACTCAGTGACATACAATGGTAGAAAACCATCAGATGCTGAGCTTAATTACTCAGTGCATGAAAAGAAATTGCTAGCAATTAAGCACACACTGACATTGTGAGATAGATATATTGATAACAGATATACAATAACAGTGATCACAGATCATGAAAGCCTTGTCTACTTACAATCAACAACAAAACCTTTCAAACACTTAGTATATTGAATCTTGAAGTTTCAAGTGTATAATCTTTATATTAAATACTGAAAGAAATCAGATACAGTGATACTGAATATAATCAGTTACAGACTCAATTTCATGAGTGAGAGTTCTGCAAACCAGGCACAAGAAATGTTTGTGTTAAACACACTAAGAGAATGCAAGAAATCAGAATAAGTGAACATCATGATCTCTCACTTGAAGAATGATAAGATGTTGAATGACAAGTGTCTTACAAAAGTAGTAGAAGAGATACTTCTGAACTTCAAGCTGAGAAAATTAAAAAACAACATTATGCTTTACTGTGATCTAGAATACACAGAAGCTCTCTATCTAGAATCTTCATTTAGATATGACTTAATGACTTATATACACAAGGAATTCAGTTACTTAGAAAGCTCTGAACTCATGAGTGTACTCAAATCAAGAGTATACTGACTAAGCATAATCAAGAATATTCAGATATATACTCACAAGTGCTTGAATTACCAGGTTACAAAAGAATCTAAGAAAGGGTTGAAATGTGAGAAAGCACAATATCAGATGAAATGTACAATACAATTATTCAAACAATGAGAAGTGAATCTCATAGATATATTACTGTAAACATCAAATGAAAATCAATGAATAATCACTGCTATTAATTACACTACTGACTGACCAGTCATAAAAGCAGTTTCAGAGACAACAGAGAAGATGATGATGAAGTTTCTATATGATAAGATCTATATCAACTATGAAATGCTACATGAGATTCTAACTGATAACAGTGTGAATCTCATAGAAGAAGCAGTGAGGCATTTCATGAGCCAGTTACAGACAAGATATCATAGAACAACACTATATCATCTGCAGATGAATAAAAAGATGAAACACTTGAATGAAATCTTGAGCAACATGCTGACAAAATATCTAGTGAGCAAGTCTATGAGATTATGAGATGAATATCTTGAGCAGGCGCTATTAGCCACATGAATTCAACAGCATGCAGTCTTCAAGTGTTCACCATTCTACCTGTTGTATGAATTGCATCCGCGCATCTCAGAGAATGCTTCAGAAAAGGTGGGGGAGAGAACAGCAGTTGCAGACGCAGCAGAAACAGCAGTTACAGACACAGCAGAAATAGCAGTTGCAGATGCAGCAGGAACAGCAGTTGCGGATGCAGCAGGAACAGCAGTTGCAGATGCAGCAGTCATGAATGCAGAATCAAGATTGAAAGAGATCAGCCACACACACACAAAAGCTAACAAGTTACTCCTGAACTGAGCAATTCAATTAAAAAGAATACAAGACTCACTTGTTAAGAAATCAAGTCTCAAGATAAGAACATAAGTTCTCATACACAATGAGAGTTCTGAGAAGTTTCAACCTAGGTGATTTAAGTCATATAAAATACTCAAATCACATTCTCTGAGAATGTACACATTAAAAGAATCAGAGAGATGAATCTTATGCAACTTAATCAATGATTCACAACTTGTGAAAGCAAAGATGCAAGATCTGAGTGAATTATAATCATTCACAGCACTATCATCAGTATTGAAAAAGAAGAGACTTATAATTGAAAAGTCTCATGAAGTAAGAGAAATCATAGACACTTATAAATCAGATGATCTCACTTATTCTGATCTTTTCACAATTATAAGAAAAGAATGAAAAGAAATGAAGAAATCAGATGAACATCACACTTCAATAAGTGATGAGACTGTAGTCAGTCATACAATAACACACTGCAGACAGCAGGCATAACATAGTAAAGAGCAGTCTCAAAGCAGCAGACTTGCACATGAGTCAGATCACAGAAGAAAAAGAAATTCAGAGTTGAATTCAACTGTTTACATCAGTTCAATTGTGAAGATCACAGAGAACAAACTATCTGAAACATTCACAGACATATGAAATCAAGTCATCTCAATCTCTGAGAACACTCAGAGGTCAGACAAGATTAGTTTTAATAAGTCATTCACTGTAGTGATCTGAGCGGGTGAAGAGAGACAGTATAATACATGAGACAGAATTATAAAAAGTTGAAAGCTGCTGAACCTAGTCATTAAATGCTGTATCATATAGAGATCACATAAGAGTAGTGACTAGCAGATAGAGAAAAAGCATAAGAAAAGAGATAATGAATTAATCATCAATCATAAGAGTCAGCTGCAAAAGATAAATGTTATCATACACATTTCATTCATTTTCATACATCACACATTTAATCTATTTCCAACACCACATCACCTGAAAAATGTCAAAAATAAAGAAAATCTCAAAACTTGAGATCTGCAAGAGATTCAAGAATCACAAGCCACTCTCACAATAACATTATACACATCTTCAATTCCTCTATCACTCTGCATATGACATTAATGTCATTGATTGCAAGATTGACTGGAATGCCAATATAGAAATGCACACATGTACATGTAGAGAAATTGAAGAAGAGTGCAGAACCTGCAGAATCAGGAGTCAGAACAGAGAAGACAGAGACAGAAGAAACAGAAGAAGAAGAAGACACAGAATCAGATGAATAATAAGAGTCACTCAGAATTAAATACTTATAACTCAGTGTGTGCACAATCTTCTCTGCAGAGAAGAGAGAGAAAGTGACAGAAGAAGCTTGAGAGTAGAAGAGAGTAGTCTCAATGATATTATCATCTTCAATCAGAATGGCCTCTGACATCAGAGCAACTAAGAACCATTGTTAGCATATAAAAATCATAAAATCAGAAGTGAGAACAGTTACTGAACAAACATTCACTGATCTTAGAGTTGTACATGTAATTACAACATGCACAAGGCTCCTCAGAAAGAGAGAGAGAGACATGAGAAAATGCAGAAAGCAGAACACAGCATATGAACAGCTCATTTCCATGATAACATCTCAGACAAGACATATGAGCCTCACACTCATGAGTGTAAAAGAGTACAACATCTGCATTCTTATTTCTGAAAACACAGATATCTTTTGCCTGTATCACAAAGTCAGACAACAGATATCAGAGAATAGGCTGATACAGATCTATCATTCTGAAGAAATTTGTCAGAGCAGATATCTCAGTAATATTGAACTTTATAGTTGTGAAAAGTTTCTTGATATCTGTGAACATCATGACTTTGTGCACAGTAAAACTCATAACAATTTTCTTTAAGAACAGAAAAATCAGCATCAGATTGAAAAGATGAAAAGAAAAAGACTTACAATCTCAACACTGTTGAGAAGAGGGATGATTCTCTGATATAAATGAACAATTGTCTCATCACAAATATTTAAAATGAATGTAATAATCAGCATCTGTGACTGAGCTTCAGATAGTTGTGTCATACACAGTCTTTATACAATAAATTGTTCTGAGAGTTGATAAGAAGAGTGAGAGTGTACATGCTGAGAGATATAATTCATTAAGTCTATACAACATCTTCTTGAAACAGGGAGAGCTGGTAATGAAGGCAGAGATGACAAAACCAGGGGTAGCGGGAGTGGGAGAACCAGACATAGAGACAGGTGTAGAAGATTGAGAGAAAGCAGTAGAGAAAGAAACAGAGAGAGCAGGGAGAAATGCAGAAGATCTGATCATACATGACATGAATAATTTCTTCATTATCATATTCTTCAAGTTCTCAATCAATGATTTAACATTGAGTTCACTATTATCAGCAGATACAGATCTGTCAACATGTGAAGATTCTATATAAATAAAAACAAATATATCAGCATCTGCATTCATGCAAAATCATGTCAGAAAACACAATCAGAAACTCACTGAGAAGAGAAACAGTTGAGAATGTATAAGAAAGTGAAGAGAGTATATAAGAAGATGAAGAAGATGTGTCATTCATGATAGTATATTCTGGTGATTGTTAAAAGATAAACAAGTTCTGATCACATTTCACAATGTGTTACACTTACTGCTAATGAACTGCCTAATATGAGCACTATAATAATACTTGTTGTAAGAATGAGAGGTCATTGTCAGAAATGCATACAATATGATAGATGAACAGATGAAAAGAGTTGAACAGAAGAAGAGATAGAAATCTTGAATGAGATAGTAATGTTTGATAATGATGATGATAGAGAAGATGATTGAAGAATGAAAAAAGTTAGTGAATGAGAGATGTAATATAGTGAAAGTTTCTTTGTGAGAGTGTATACAGAATGCTAGTCAAATCAGAGATAGGTCACACAATTGTGAAATACTAGTGATGAGCTAATCTGCATGAAGCTAGGGTGTATGACATGGTCACATGGGTGTGACTGAATCTGGTGAGGGAGGATGTGGTTCGGAAGAATGTACAACTGTCAGATAATAACACAGCCGCTTCCGAACTACTAGTATACATGTACGCTTCTGAACTACTAGTGTACATGTACAAATGTAAAGGGGGCTCTAGCGGCCACTAATTAATTTAGCATATGAGATTCAATATATAAGAAGCCGGCGTACGCCTGTAATTGTACGCTGGCTTAAGCAACCTTTGAATCACACTGCTATGAACACATATACTCTGATTCTCAGTCATTCTCAATCGCCGATTCTCAGCTGCTATGAACATGTGTATATTCTTTCACCCTGAAGCTTCACCGCGTACATCATCACATACACATAGACTGGCCGCCGGGACCATGAATTTCACATTTGGTCCCATTTGGTCTGGTCTCATACATTTCTTGGCGTGAATCCCGCTGGGACTGGCTATCAAAAAAACAGGTAAAGTGACTATATATCAGATCTTAAAATGGAATCATGACTTGAAAAAAATGAGAAAGTGGTTTCATTTGATTTCATTTAGTCTCATTCTTGGCATAAAGTTACTATTTTTAGACATTTTAAGGTTTTTTTTAGACTATTTTTAATTTTTTAAAAAGTAAGACTTTTTGATAATGCTCAAATGAGATTTAAAGTCATTTAAAGCAATAAAAATAATTTAAATTGAGAAGTGAAAATCATAATTCTATTTGAAAAATGTGACAAGAGTAGACAGTAAGTCTCACTGAAACAGTATGAAACTACTATCTAATGTTAGAACTGTGTAATGGGATCTGTCGAATTGGCAATGAGACTATCAAAAATTCTGATCCTGGTCCCAGACACGGTCACACGGTCAGTCTACATACATATATAAATATTCATCTCACTTGCTGATTCTTGCACTTTCTCTTTCTTTTCTTCTTTAACATTTTTATCTTTGTTATATAAGACCTATCAATATAATACTGATCTATTCAGCGTAGGCCTCTTACAATTTAAGGCTTTCAATTTGATAGTTATACTCTCTATTTTTTGATTTTCTGCTTTCTACTGATGTGTCTTTGCTTTCTTGATTTGCTTGAATAAATTCTTCACTCTCTTCAGCATGACTGACTAGACTGATTTTCTCATAACTGTTGAGATGATAAGATAAAACTCATAAGTTTGAACCAGATTTTCAATTTCATCATTGAATTCATTAGAATATATTATACAATCTTTCTTTTCATGATTGCAGTTTGAACATGACTTTATACTTTCTTCAACTTTGTTATAAACAGATTCAATATGATGAGAGAAAATATATAAGACATAGTGGTTACACATCATTGACTTACTAGATTTGATAAGAGTATTCAGCCTGCTTACTGCCTCTTTCTCTTATACTTTTGCTGCTGCTGCATGTGTACACTTGAGAGTATCTTTAGTCATTTTAATGTTGTTGCTGCTGCTGTTGTTGCTGCTGTTATTACTGCTACTGCTGCTGCTGTTACTGCTGCTGCTGTTACTGCTGCTGCTGTGTCTGTTGCTGCTGTTGCTGCTACTGCTGTTGCTGCTGCTGTTGTTGATAATACTGTTATTGCTGTTGTTACTGTTGCTGTTATTACTGTTGCTGTTGTTACTGTTACTGCTGCTATTGAATAAAACAATAGATCACTGACATTCTTGATATACTATGCACATTAGATATCTTAATATTAGAATTTTTAATATTTAAAACATTCTATTACAACTGGCAGAATACTAATCTTGCTGAAGATGAGAAGAGCTGAGTGAACTGAAAAAATCAATATTTGCATTGTGATATGATTGTAAGAAGAAGAAAGAAAGAAAGAAAGAAAAAGAAGATGATAAGTTATTCTTCTTATATATGTTATTGATTCATCTTTGCAGGTTATTATACAATGAATGCAAATACTTTTATATTTCATCTCTGAGTGTAATCAGCACATCTGACAGATTTTATTCATATCTTAATACTTTCTGTGCAGGCTATCACTGAATGAATTACAGCTATTTTGAATATAAAATCATTTCTATTAACTAGAAACAAGTGTTCAATGCACTGTCAGAAATATATCTACAGAATTCAAGATTTTCTGATGCAGTAAAATCAGTGAATTCTCTGCAGTCATAACTATACAAATTATAAGATAGAGAATATGACAACTTTCTTCAGTGAATATCAAGACAGGTATATTCTAATTATATATATTAAAGTATATATTAACTAATTTATAAAACTCATAGAAAACTAAATATATTGAAATATAAATAGATTGTGTTGAAAATCTCTACATCACTGATCTGTCTTTTGCTGAAAGTATCTCTGAAAATTTGATCTTTTTTCACATCTTCTCTCATATATCTTTTATTAGATGTCTCTTTTTTGCTGTTGAGATATTCTGAATCATCTCAGCAAAGTCATCTCTGATAATTTGCTGATATTCAGAAATATCACTTATCAGATCTTAGAATATCAGAATATTTTATCATTACAGTATACCTGCAGTGGAATTTTCATTTGTATCAGTATTATCAAATATTTTAACCTGAGTGATAAGTAGACTGGCCGCCGGGACCATGAATTTCACATTTAATCTCATTTGATCTGGTCCTATACATTTCTTAGCATGAATCCCGCTGGGACTGACTATCAAAAAAACATGTAAAGTGACTATATATCAGATCTTAAAATGAAATCATGACTTGAAAAAAATGAGAAAGTGATCTCATTTGATTTCATTTAGTTCCATTCTTGACATAAAGTTACTATTTTTAGATATTTTAAGGTTTTTTTAGACTATTTTTAATTTTTTAAAAAGTAACACTTTTTGATAACACTCAAATGAGATTTAAAGTCATTTAAAGCAATAAAAATAATTTAAATTGAGAAGTGAAAATCATGATATCATTTGAAAAATGTGATAAGAGTAGACAGTAAGTTCTACTAAGACAGTATGAAACTACTATCTAATGTTAAAACGGTGTAATGAGATCAGTCAAATTGATAATGAGACTATTCAAAAATCTGATCCTGATCTCAGACACGGTCACACGGTCAGTCTAGTTGTACGATTAATATATATCTCTATTTTTCAGAATCAGTTTCTAGTTTTTCAATCTGAAGTTTTCAATTCAATATCTTTAACTAATGAATATTCAACTTATGTTTCATATATCATGATTCTCACTCAGAGAATTGATCAAAGTCAATGATTTGTCACACTCAGTAAAAAACCAGAAAGAACTTTTCAGCAGTAAATGAATTACAGAAGTATTCAAAGATGATTGATTCTTTATAGCAGTTATATAATCTAATTACTGCTGAAGCTTTCTCTGCTCTTTATCTTCTTGTATTGAATATAATTCTATATTAATAAATGATTAGCTAAGTTGATCAAAAAAATTTTAATATCTCACTGAAAAGTTTCAAATTCTTCTAAGATATCTCACTGAAAAGTTGATATATTTGCTAAAATCTAATACTACTTATCTTCATTTCTTTGAGAGTTCAGAACTTTCATGTTTTAATCACATTTAACATCATTATTCTGCTGAATGAAAAGATGTATGATATTTTATTCTTTATTTTTATCACACTTGTAACTGTTCAATTCAAATTATCTTTATTAAAAGAAAGAAAATATATTCATTTTATCTTCAGATGCAGACACTGCTCTGTCAGCTGAATTTCCTTCTTATACATTTCTGCATCTGAATGCTGAGTTCAGTGACATCTTTTTGATAAACTACTTAATATCAGTGATGAGTTTGACTTCTTCTCATCTGACTGATGTTCACTATTACTGCTACTATATTCATTCTATGTTCAGATATATTAATATCAGATTTCTTTTGAAATCAGTGATTTGTCTTATTAAATCTATCAGATGAGAGAGTTTAAAGAGATCTAGTAGAGCAGAATTCATGACAATATTCATGTTCAGAATCTTAATAGAGCTCTGATAAATTTGTGATATGAATAGAAATATAGTGATTTAATTCTTCATATTAAATTAATATAGATTGTCACTGATTATAACTCTTATTAATATATTTCTTTTCAGTAATTCAATCTCATCTCTTTATTTTATTAAGATCACTCATTCACTTCATTTATATCTTTTCAACTACACAACTTTTTTCTACAAATTATATCAGAAAGTAAAATATTGTGTCTATTTAATTAAAATCTGAAACACTATCTGTTATCTGTCTCTAGATAAGAATCTGAAGATGATTAATATCTCTCTTTTCTGAAAACTGTAAATGAAGATTTTATTAACAGTGATTCAGATATTGATGCTTCTGATGAAGAAGTATTACTATTCTCAGTAAGTTTATCACTTTTAATATCTCTATTAATATAAAAACTAATATTTTCTAAAGAGAGAGTCATATAATGAGAATGCTGCTGATAATATTGAGTATATTAAATAACTTTTGAAAGCAGCTGCTGAGAAGAATATTTTTGAAAATAATGATTAAGAGAATTCTGATAAGTCAGTTACTGATAATATTAAAATATCAGCTGCTAATACAATTACTGTTACTATTACTAATTAATTTATTAATTCTGATTCAGCAATTAATATATCTTACAAAAACAGTAATTTTGAAATGAATTCATTTATTCTGATAATAAGACTCTGAGCTGAAGAGTCAGATATTTCCTGAAAAAACTATAAATTACTACTATAAATTCTGTGTGTATTAAAGAATATATCACTGATAAGTCTGCTCTCTGAAGATCTATTAACTCTGAAAAAGTAATACAGCACACAATTTCTCATTTTATCAGTCAAGAAAATCTCAATTTTAATAGTATTATTAATATAAATGTCAACTCTGTGTTCTGCTCAGAAAAATCTTGCTAAATTCTTCCTAAGATTACTATACTATTAAAATCTGATTCTCTTGATATCTGCTTCTCTTAAATTCTCAACTTTTCAGTGATAAATGTATATAGAAATGATAGAAATTATCAACAATCTTACAGAGTTATAACAATCTCACAGTTGAAAGAGCTCTGTTAAATATTATTCTGGTAAATTTATCTAATATTTATTAATAAATAAATATATTTTTTCTTCTGATTTTATTCAGTATCAGTGTGAGAATCTTGAATACTACTGTAAATCAGAGTTGAATAATATATCTTATATTAAAAGAGTGTATTTTATCAGATATAATCACTGATATTCAGATATGAGATCTTATATAATAGTTCTGAAAGTTCAAGAATGTGGCGGGCTGCGCCCGATCAATTATATAGACTATTCCATTACACTTCATAGATTCTTCCATTCCCGATCGCCGGTCCGCGGCCGCTACGAACGGGCGTAGCGTACACTTCAATTCTCGGCCATTCCTGATCACTGATCCGCGGCTGCTATGAACGCGCGTAGCATACACTCTGATTCTCTGTCATTCCTGATCACCAATCCTCAGCTGCTACAAAACATGTGTAGCATACACTCTGATTCTCAGTTATTCCTGATCACTAATCCTCAGTTACTATGAATATGTGTATATTCTTCCACCCCGAAGCACCATCACATAGATGTATAAATATCCACCTCAATTGCTGATTCTCACACTTTCTCTTTCTTTCCTTCTCTAACATTTTTATCTTTGTTATATAAGACCTATAATATTATACTGATCTATTCAGCGTAGGCCTCTTACACTATAAAAATGTTCATTGTCTTCTTATTAGGAAACAATTATTCACACATCATTAGACTGGCTGCTGAGACTATGAATTTCACATTTGATCTCATTTGATCTGATCTCATACAATTCTTGGCGTGAATCCCGCTGGGACTGACTATCAAAAAAACATGTAAAGTGACTATATATCAGATCTTAAAATGAAACCATAACTTGAAAAAAATGAGAAAGTGATTTCATTTGATCTCATTTAGTTTCATTCTTGGCATAAAGTTACTATTTTTAGACATTTTAAGGTTTTTTTTAGACTATTTTTAATTTTTTAAAAAGTAACACTTTTTGGTAATGCTCAAATGAGATTTAAAGTCATTTAAAGCTATAAAAATAATTTAAATTGAGAAGTGAAAATCATGGTTTCATTTGAAAAATGTGATAAGAGTAGACACTAAGTCTCACTGAGATAGTATGAAACTACTATCTAATGTTAAAACTGTGTAATGAGATCAGTCAAATTGATAATGAGACTATCAAAAAATCTGATCCTGATCCCGGACACAGTCACACGGTCAGTCTACACAAAATCTTCTTATCAGAAATGATTATTCATTGAGAGATATCTGAATGTGTAACAATGTATAAGAAATAGAGAAACAGTTAAACAGTTAAGTGAACACTGAGTTCTCAGATAGTTCTCAGATAGAAGCTTGCTCATCAGTCACTCTAACTCTGTAACAAGATCTTATGAAGAGAGTAAGATTTTACAAGAGAATGATAATGAAAGACCTAAGAGTTCTGACACTCAGATGTATGAGAATACAATTACACTTCTTCAGATTTCATGAATATCATACATCTGATGATTGATATAATCATGTCTAATGATAATATGAAACCCTTGAACATGAGCATAGATGCAGTGTCACAGTGACTTCAAGCAATGTTGAAACTACAATAATAATAAATAGCTG